AACCGGGTGTTCCGTTCAAACAAATATACTTAAAAACTTATGACAGGGGCATGATATGGCGCAGTGGATCATTCAGCCGCTACCTTAGCTCTGATTTTCAGATATGATGTTTGATCTTGGTTCTCGGATGGGTGGCCATACAGGAACTTTAACAGTGACACACACCTTACCCCTTACTCAGTCATAAAGAGATCACGTCATGGTCAACGGTTGTTGTAAAAAACTTAGTAAATTATTTTAAGGCGAATGAGATGATAATTATGATTTTGTTATTTTAGTATAATTATAATATATTATAATTTCTATACTATCATAACTATAATATTACAAAAAAACCCAGCACAGGGGGGTCGCGGCACAGTGATGACGTGGCATAGTTGGATCAAGTATAATGATATCTGACAGTNTGGAAGTATAATGATATCTGACAGTGATTAAAATCACTATCAAAAAAAAAAAATGCTTCGATGCAAATCTTTAGATAGTGTTTAGTTTTAAAAAATTGGTGGATTATTCCAAAAGCTACATGATCTGCTAGTTCCTTATTAATATCCTAATTAAGATAAAGTATGTAGAATGAAAAAGGGATTATTAAAAAATATTATTTCTCATAAAAAAATAATGTTGATCCATACACTTTTCAATATGTCATAGCATTATAAAGTTAAAAATGTAAAAAATAAAATCAAGAATTCTCACACAATAATAGCATTTGGTAGCTTTTTTCACCGTGAAGATAAAATAAAGTCCAAATTTTTTATTTTTCCATGATAAATTATATTACATTAGCTTTAATTTAAGATATACATAAAAGTGTCAGACCTTCCGGAACACTTTCAAAAGTTACGTTGAAAAAATTAATTTTTTGTGAAAAAGTTGTCATTTTAAATCCCCCCTTTGGGCAGGTAAAGGGTTAAATATAAAAAAAAAATATACCAAATAAAAGGTAATGATATCATGCATCTATATAAAAAAAATTATATTGATTTGGTTATTTTTAAAAAAGTTATAGCAATTTTAAGTAAAAAAAATTGAAAAAATTACGAAAATTAGCGAGTTATAAATTTGTAATTTTTTTGCAGGTTACCCCCATTTACTGGGAACGAGGGAATTTTTTTTAATTTTTGAGGGTAATGTCTTCGACTAGATACGATTTGTGATCTTTTGACGTATCATTGAAAGAAATCGGTTCGGTGAGAGCTGAGAAA